ATCCTGGTTTGTTTTTTAAGAGTTTCATTTGCTTCATTGATTTTCTTGGCGTTTCACCGATCAAAAATTGCTCCAGGGGATGTTAATTCGATATACAAACAGTGGAAGAAAATCAGAGACAGATATGTCCGAGAAAAGAGGAGGCTACGTATGCAAAGGGACAACGGTGTACATGATGACAGTACATGGGATCTATATCCTGCCATGGCATGGATTGACCCTTACCTGGATGAAAGGGCTCAGTACGTACACAGTATGCTCATTGCTCTACCATTTTAGTTATTTCTTGATGCTTTAGGCTATTGAGACATGTGAAAAGGAAGCATGATGACGAGATGTCAGACTATGGCGAGCTGGATGATATGGTCAGGTCGGGGTATGTTTCATAGGGCAGAGACACCACACGCGCATAATTTCGGATGATGATGACGAAATTGACTATGATTTACATCATCTTCTCCACGTATCATCCATGTTCAAATGGTTGCAATTTTCAGGTCCGGTCTAGGATATATGGTCTCGGATAAAGGAAGAACTGAAGGTTTTCTTTCAAAATCACTGTTTCTTACATAATTCGCCTATATTGCAAAAGCTTATTTTCTACATAGTATATTGCCAATAAGCGTCTGTTTGAATGGCCTTCTGAAGAAATTTTGGTGTAGTGCATGAATTGAAAAGGATAACAAAGTGGGTTGAAAAATTGCTATTCACGCTAACGTGAGCTCTAGGGTAGATTTTTGTAAAAATTAGTAATTAATCAAACTGCATACAACTGTAAGCGGCCCCTCTGAAAACTACCTAATAGTACATTAAACTTAATGTGCTGGCCGCATTAAGGCCGTCCTGTGAATTGTACAGAATCCTTTTGTGCTCATTATGGACGTCAGACTTGTTTTTTTTTGTACCCCACATATCACTACGGTAATTAAGGTGGTGCTGATGTACTTTTGGATGGCGATAGTGCTTTTGCTGCTTCAGCAGTTTCAGACCTACGCACTCTACCAGAGCATGCGAGAGCTCTTGCTAAGGTAAATCACATCGCATTGACTAGTTTAAATTGTTTTTCGAAGCAGTACATTTAAGGCACAAATAGAAGCGATTTTCGACTCGGGAAGAATGAACGTGCACGCCGAGTTCTAACCCAGTTTGATTCACCTACCGCCGGAATTCCGATATTTGGGTTTTGTTTGTTTTAGCTTGTCCTATCGGATGATGTTTGACATAGTCGCATGTTTCTTTGACAATGTGCCTTCGTAATTTAGCGCCATATTGGCTCTACTTGAGAAGGCCATGTTACAAAGTGTATATTTTGAGATTGATCTCCGCGATAAATGTGTATGAATGCTACCATCTCTACGATCCTAGCGTGAATTTGGTTATATGGAGAAGTTAAACCCTTGGGAGTTCACTGTCACATGATGAACTTCTTTTCACCATGGTAATATTAACCGAAAGAAAGTAAGGCGCGGATTCGCTTCTTTCATAGATTGGATTGTTACCCTAACTGACATGACGAGGCATAGCTCAGATTCGATAGTGGGCCAGTTGCAGAAGTGCTGTGTGATCAATGTTCACACTAGAATTCCTCCATTCCTATTTTATTTCTTATATTTTTTATTTACATGTTTATTCTTTCCTTGCACGTATTATGGCCGGAATTTTTTGCGCTCAGTCTTGTCAAATCGATAGGGAGGTTTTTTTGTAGGCTCGCACTGAATGTGTTCACAGGTATGAAGCTGAGCTAAAGTTAAGTGCTATATGATAAAAGAAAGGTCAGACTTCGCGTAACCTGCAGTGGTGCTCAAAAGTATTCTGCCAGATGCTTTTTCGGCCGTAACTGTTCTTTTACTGGATCAATTTAGTCCAAATTTTGATATATTGTGAAGGCAAGCCTTCGTTCACAACTATCAGAGTTCGGATTAAAAAAGGTGGACGGATGAGGGAATGGAAAAGTGTAGTTTCACTGGAAACGGTCCGAGTATGACAAATTCAAAGTAAATTACGCATTATTGTAGAAGTAATTTTAGTGCAAATCAACCACAAAAAAGTAACTGAAATACTACAGTGCGTTTCAAAAGTATGTGCACAGCCTCAAAATTCGCGTTTGAAAGGGAACCATGAGGTTTCGTGCTATGAAATCCTTCTCAATCGATTTCTCGTAGTCGATAACCTATCAATGGAAGCAAAGCAGATAATATCGCCTCACTTTCGAAAAAAATTTTGGATGAAATTTTTTTCTTTGTTTCAAAAGTATGTGCACACTTAACAAAAGACAAAAACATAGCTGAGATTAGAAATCAGTGGGGCCTCCAGAGTTTCTAATTAGCTCAAACATCCTGTCCGGCATAATCTGAACCACGTTTGGCATAGCTGTTTCGTCCGACTGCGCCACCCCAACCCCTACGACCTCGCTCCGCAGCGCGGCAGCCACCTGACTGCCAAACACCTTAACCCACGGTAGCAGCCTGATGCTTGGTGTGTCCCTCTGCGCTATTAGGAGCCCTGATCAAGAGCGTTAACTTATAGCCAACAAGGAGTATAGGATAACCGCGCGGATGCACCTGAAAGGTCGCTGTCGGCCCATATAGCCTCTACCGCCGCCTTCAGTTCATCCGCGGTATTATACTGCCGGTTGCTAAAGTTAACGCCTTGATCAAGGGCTCCCTATAGGGTTGCAGTAAGAGGACACACAAGCCAATCTATTGCGCTTCAGCACCATTTGGTTAAGGCCATTCTTTGGTAGATTGCGAAGCATCGAAAGACACGTGGTCCTGTTGCTAAAAATGCAATTTTCGCTTTGCTTCGCTAAGGAAGGGCAACAGGTGACATTGGAGCACTGCTTGGTATTCTTCACAATTTATACGCAATAATGGAACGGAACTCTGATTTTCTCTGATTTGCGAAAACTCCAGCGACGCCATCACGGCTCTTACGAATTCTTCTTCGAACAGTAACGACTCTCCGGCCAAGCACTCTCCAGAGATATAAAACCCGGCCCGTCAAGATCAAACTCTTTCCATGAGCTAAGATTACCTGAGGAGAGAAAGTTCATTAAAAGTTGCTTGTTTTGAAAATAGGAAATTCTCGAAAAAGCGTGTCTTCTCCCGGTGTCCTATCCTATGTTGCCGTGTCTGTACGAGCAGACTCCAATGTGGCTAACTTGTGCTGGGCCTTGAAGTGAGTAGCCTTCCTCAGCGTCTGTCGAGTGGTGTATTCATTTGAGCGGATGAGGGACTTAGTGGTTATTTTTGATTTGTTTTCGAGCTGGAATAAATAAAAAACCAAAAAAGGCGAATAAAAATCTGAGCTCGGACTGTCAATGAAGAATCCGACAGGATGTGGGCTACTCTTTTGTTGTTCTGAGCAGTCAAGGATCGTGGATGGAGCGGAGTGTGTGCTGAGTATAATTATCAGGGTGCCAGATAAATCTTCGAATGCATTAAGGAGAACGACCAAGTTATCGTGCGATTTCTAGATTGGAACGTTCATTATCATGCAGAACCTTGATCTGAGCTTGCTCATCTTCAGGAAGAAGTATGGCGCGAATTGACATGATGACGAAATAAAAACAGCAAAGTCGGATTGAAATCGGTGGAAAATTCGGCGCCAAAATCTGATCTTCTTCAAGTGTGCACATACTTTTGAAACAAAGAAAAAAATTTCATCCAAAAAATTTTTCCGAAAGTGAGGCGATATTATCTGCTTTGCTTCCATTGATAGGTTATCGACTACGAGAAATCGATTGAGAGGATTTCATAGCACGAAACCTCATGGTTCCCTTTCAAACGTGAATTTTGAGGGTGTGCACATACTTTTGAAACGCACTGTAGTATCGTATAACATCGTATAAAGTTTGTCGCTAACTCTTACTAGAGTCTCGAACGTCTCTAAACAGGGTTAGCGATGGATATTTAATGAGTTCACGTTATCTATAGGGACAATTCCCTCGATTGTTGACCTGTTTCGTGCCCTCTGACTGTTTTTTTTGAGCCAAAGGTTTCCTACCTCCTTGCCCAAGTGTTGTTGAGATGCCAGGCTCTCTGACGTCTGAACTTCTCTATGATCAAAAGGTATGCCTGCCTGGTCAATAAGAATAATGTCTACTAGTCGTGAAGTTAGTGGATGGCAATACTTTTGGCCCATTTTCGATAGAAAACAAACTCATCATCGCACGATTGACATACGTGTGGATACGCGGCGCGTTGTTGAATCTATATGTGGATCGGTCCGCATTCGCCATGTTTTGAATTCTAAGTAATGTGCTAACATCTTTTGGCGACGTAGACCCCGTAAACCGAGCCCGCAAGCCACATCAACCGAGAACCGGCGCTTTGTCTCAAGCTGGAATGAAGCTTATACTTTGACATGGCTATGTCAGAGTCGAGCCGTCCTGGATTTTTCGCGATTTGCGCGAATCGCGACGGGTCACGGAAATCACAAGTGCCCCATCCATACTGCAAGGTGTTCTCCAATCCCGCCGTCACTTCTGCTTCATGGTTATGGTTTAATGAAGACTGCTCATGATTCCCACTTGTTTCATATTCAGTGTTTCAATGTTCAAATGGGGCACTTGCAATTTTTGATCCGCGCGAAGCCTGCGACGCATGAGGAATCCGGAAGCTCCTCCAATCTTCGCTCCCCCCCCCCCCTACTTTTTCACGTTTTTGGGGGCGCCGGCGGCGAGCACGGCCGAGCCGGTAGCGCCCGCGAAGTGTGCGGGAAATTTGAAAATGTTCCAGCACAGCTCGCGGGCGCCTTGTGTGTGTTGTGCCTTGTGTACTCCTGTGATCCATCGCAGGTTTCGCGCAAATCGCGAAAATCAGCGAAACCTGCGACGATCGCGGACTCTGACATCAGCCTATCAAAACGTTTGCTGTCAGGATGCCACACATGCGTTCTTGCGGTCGCCGTCAAATGTCCTGAATTCACTCAAGTTGCTCCAGATGACCTTAGAGCCTTGCGGGGATATCCAGTTCAGGCGCGCGTGAACTCATCCAATCCCTCCATCACTTTAATCGGACATCTTCATAAGATTCGCGATTTGGTGAAGGCTACGCTTACAGTTATTCTTGAAGGTGTTGTGTATCTACATGTATGGCACCTGCTCCATACTGATCTCGTATTTAGCAGTAGAAGGACCAAAAACATCATGCCTTAACTGTGGAGTCGCTTCGGCAGCATGGCATGCTTTCGACGAATGGACTAATACGGACGCATGTCTTGAACATCATAGGGAGACTATTGGAAAGGGTTAGGAAACCCTTGGCATAGAAAGAGATCCAAGAATATGAAGGGGAAACTCGTCAAATTGAAAGGAAAATAGAGGAAGTCGTACCAGAGATAGTGACTTCTTTAACTGATAAGAAACTTAAGTCCTCTTAAAATTTTAACGACTCTGGAAGGTTATTGACTAACAATCACGTCTGCTCGATGTGAGCCATCATGCGGTTTATTGTTTTGTTGAATTGCAAGTTTTCTGCAGCGACTTGAAATTTGCTTGAAATTTGGTCGCACTCGAAAATTTCCAGTAAAAAAAATTTTCGTTCTTCACTCCTACCATTTAGCACAAATATAATGCCCTTGTGAGAGAGGCATGTATTCAAAACATACCAAAATTTGAACTAATTTGATCCAACAGAAAATGTTACGGCCGCAAAAGCATTTGGCCGAATACTTTTGAGTGCCACTGCATGTTGATCCATACCATCCCAACTCATCCTCCTGCTCACACCCTACATGAGAATGTGCATAATCCAGTTTCATATATCCATGAATCGGTTATCTGCTCTTTCCTTTCTAGAGAATTAGAAGGATAGAGGGAGAGTACAGATTACCCTGTAATCAATCAAACTGATGCATACATGCAAAATATGCTGATACTGCGCGCTAAACTATGTCGACAGCTATCGTAATATTTAACAAAATTCACGACTCGTAGGCATAATGACCATTCAAACATTACTAGCAATATTTAATGAAAACTGTTTCAAGAGAACTATCGCAGTCACTATTTATTAATGCTATCAAATGTAACAGAACAAAAAACAACTTCAATTGATAACAGCTTGATGGAACAGCCAGTACTGTAGACAAAGAAAAGCCTTGAAAGGTTCTAGAATCCTCTGTGCGGCATCCTGAGCTATTCCTTGAAAAAAATGAAAAGGTCCACAAACGAGTCGAGACTTAATGACGCTAGCTAGCGAGTCACCTTGACTAAGGTTTTGACTATTTCTTCGAAGAGAAAAAAGCAGCTGCTGTGAAATGTCAATATCTCTTATGAACATTGATTTACAACGTGATTTTCCCAGTATTTGAAAATTATAAATTGACATCGTGCCTTTGGCAAACCTGAGGTTAACATGAAACTTAGTGGCTTACAGAACGATCAGGTTTTTCTGCGCTTTCAGCTTGGTCAAACTTCCGTTTACGGTATTCGTCCTGCCTTTTATCCACATATCGTTGAGTGTGGAAAAACCAATACAACAGGTCATCGAACTCTCCTGTAACAAGAAAGATACTAAGAAGTGAATTAATTCCATGATCAGAGGAACGCGGAAAGTGAGCGTGTATACTGGAACAGCTCGTATTCAAAACTAATACAACTTATATGAATTTTTTCTAGTTCCTACCTCCATACGGCCGTCCAGTAGCGTGCTCGTGATACTCTCGTTGAGCATAATAAATAGCTTCGATTGTTGCCAAACCATAATCACCGACGTTATGCTGAGGTCTCCAGAAAGCGGTGCGGTAGTTAGTCAATGAGACGCATGGAAGATCTAAACACGGATCATGGGTATCACGAAACCCTTATCATTATGATCTGAGTCAGTAGACGACTGGCCCTGAATTTGGGGGATCTTCTGCATCATGTTCACCTGGAACCATGTACAATCCAGAACGACAAATCGTTTTATTGGACCCTTTGTCCGAACAAATTCCTGTATAGAGACTGCTGACGGTGAAGGAAACACCAGCACCTAAAGAGTAAGAACTTGCTGCTTTAGTATTCGTATGTATGTGCTCCATAATGCTTACATTGCTTCCTTGCTCATTTATAGCTTCCTCCGCAGCGTAATCATATACGTTTGGAACATCGAAAATCTAAAAAGACATTTATACTGAGGAGAGAAGTAAGGAATACCAGATCTCTTTGACAGCCTACCCGCGTTTGTTCAGGAGCTACAATTTTGCAGTGGACAGCCGTGCTTTTGCTATTCTTTTCCATCGGGTGCTTCACTATATCTACATCGCAGGGTAACTGCAATGATTCATCATCCAGTAATATCAATTCCACTGCACATATGACTGCTGCTACAACTTCAATCTCTGACAAGGGGGTCTTTCAGGGCAAGCCACGCTTTTTGGAAACGGTTTCTTGCATATTGTAGGGACGCATGTATGGACCACAAAACCATGTTTCGTTTTCGCTGAACGGTTTTAAAGTGTGAACTATACACCGATGGTTCAATCCCCGCGGCGACTAAATTTTGCATCAAGGTTGCGTTACTGGTCGGCATTCTCAATATGGTCCTCGATGATATGACCATCGTATCCTGACATTCAGACACGAGTTTGGCAACAACGGCGTGGCGCCAACCGATGCAAAAGATCTAGTTGCCAACGGGGGCTGAACCATTTAACATTTCTTATAGTTCTTTTTTGGTAGTGCTAGAACGTTTCAGCGAAAATGAAACTTGGTTTTGTGTTCCCTAAATTCCCCTACAATATGCAAAACACCGTTCTGAACAAAAGCGTGGCTTTTCCTGAAAGACCTGCCTTATGAGGAGCTGCTGTTACCTTCGACCCTGAGAAGAATAAATCAGAATGACCCAGAAAGGGCTATTGGTTGGGGGCCAGGTCATCACTTTCTCCCGTTCGGGTTCCACAATCGAGTGGGAGTACGATACTGTCACCACGGCAACTGTGCGGCCACTTGTCGATCTCGAACGATTTCCACTTCCAGGAAGGGAACCGGCAGATCGTAGGCAAATAGTGACCCGACCCCCTTGACAAAAGGAATTTCTTTTCTCAATCAATTCTATTTTTACATTTTGTGGCAGAATCTGACGACAATTTGTACATATATGGCGTACAAATGCAATTACAAGACTACGAAAGACGAGTGATGCTTTTCTCAGCATTATATTCCAATTCAGGCAACACTTATCTACCACTCTCGGCGCTCAGTTCTTGGAGAGGGGTGAGCGGGAGTTCGACGGACCTTCAACCTCCGTCCTTTAAGCTGCCTCACTCGACGCTTTCGTCTGCGCTCTCTCACCTTATCAGCGGCTCATGACCACTGTGATCTCACACATTCAAACTTTTGCCACAATGCAATTGGCTCACCCACCTCGAATTCCCTCCCCCTTACAAGGCTTAGTCCTAGGGCTCTCACCTCCCTTCCTTGGGATTTGGAGCCGAGCCCGACGCCGCGGAGGGACATTTAAGTAAGTGAGCCAAATACAGTACTTGGGACTAACGATAAGCCTCAGGGAGAATAATGGATTCCGGAGGAGAAGGTGAACCATTTTTTTCCTCTGTGCAGGTTTTTCCCTCTTCCTACGCTGGTCCTAATGTTGCGTACATAGCTCCGTTGAGAGGTTACCCACGAGCTCATGATCGCCCCCCCTTTATGAAACAAGATGCTTAAAAATCTTGATTAAAAAAACGACTTCAATAAAAAAGGACGTGATAATTGAGGAAAATAATTTCGCAAAGAATCACATACCTCAACCTGTGGGGAATACACGCCAGGCAAAAGAACACGGCAATCATAGCAAAAATACATCCGCCGCTTACCGCAGCCAAGGCATTTTGTTTTGGCCAGCCCTTCGATGGGAGAATATGACGATAGTTTGCACAGTCTCGTGATATTACGGACATGGAACGGCACAAACCGATTCTGGAACATTTGTCAATCACCATTAAAGCGACGACTGAGCATGTGCATGAAAATACGGAAGATTCTGACCCAGTAGTTCCAAAATTGTTGAGAGTATCTCGTAGCACACTTCCCTCGCTCCAACGTTACTTTATGCTCCCCTTCACTACTGCGCCTCCTTTAATAGAAACTAGCGGTGCGGCTCAGAAAGGCATCCCTCCGCTTGAACCTTTTCGTTTGAATAACAGTTTGTCGACTCCACTGATCAAGAGAGTAACCCCAATACTTGGGGACCAGGGCATCATTCAATTACGAAAATTGGGTATTGCATCCATGTCGCTTATACGAAGTCGATATCCGAAAGTTGGGGTAGGCGTGTCACCGGAAGTGACGTGCACTTGATAGAAGTGCGTGGATAAGCTGTTGCCAGCATGCTTTGCTGATATCCAGCGATGTATGTTGGAAGCAGCTTATCCACATAGCTTCTATCAAAAGTGCACGTCACTTCCGGGACGACACCCTACCCCAACTCACCGATATCGAGTATAGCTCTGTGCCTGCTGAAAGGCCATCGCCGGTTCTCATTGATTTCTTTTTTTTGCATGACTTTCTTAGTGAGCCATTTGCCTTTGGATGCTTGGACTTGAGCGACGTCCGATTTCTCGGGAGCGCCTTTCATATTTGTTTTGGAAGCTTATGCTAGCTATTGCTGGCGCGTATGCGAGGGTGTCGTTGCCGATGCGACGGGGCTGGGGCAAGCGGTGTCGGGGAGAAGGCTCGTCGCGGAACCCACTTTGCACTGGTTGCACCTATGATTTTGGAGATTTGTTTCCATTCCTCTTACTGTTCCAGATTGTATATTCGCTCGTCATTACCTTTGTTCTTCGAACAAACAGCAAAAACAACTAAACCTGGTCATACGGAACTACTCCAATCCGCCCCTTTAACCGCCGCGGCCGTCTCCTTGGCGCTCTCCTCTTCCCCCACAGGGCCCAACCCTTCCTCCCCACATCAGCACACGCCCCTACAAAACCTGCTAAGTTCAGCGGCGCTATCCCTCAGTTCACCCCTCTGTATCCTCATTTCAAAGGACAAGGTTAAATGTCAAGAGATGCTGATATAGAGGCGTGGAGCGAACTGTCGGTTGGGGCAGGGGGCGGCGGCCGCTGTTTTCGTCTTCTCTACTACTTCGTCGGTCTCCGGACATCTACCGTGAGGCTAGGCAATTCAGCGTTTTGTTGTGCTGTCTGGGAGCTCTCACACAAGCGCACTATTACAGAATCTCCGCTTTCTTTACCTCCTTCTAAAAGGCTTAGTCCCACTACCACAAAGAACGTCTGCTTTTCCTTCTACACTCTCACCCTCTGGTTGACAGAAGCCTTGTAACCAGGGGCGGTATTCAATCCTTCCCCCAGGGGGATATATCCCCCAACTCTGATTCAATCCTCTTCAATTCCTGGGGGGACAAAAAAGGGTTGCGTCATAGGACCTAGCATTCCTCTGTGTTCTTACCTGCCAGACAGTTAGAGCACCGCGACTGCCCTCCACTGATGAAGCACTCTTTTGCCTGAGGGCCCGCGCTGCTCTAACTGTCTGGTGCGTGTCACTTGTATGCACGGTATATAGAAACACGGAGGTATGCGAGGTCCTATGACGCAACCCTTTTTCGTCCCCCAGAGGATTGAATCAGAGTAGGGGGATATATCCCCCTGGGGGAAGGATTGAATACCGCCCCAGGCTTAGTCACCAATGGCGCGTATTTTGAAACTGCCACATAATGGCGAAAGAGTAACTGTCCCTGTGGACTAAGCCTTGGAGGAAGAGACGAACAGAGCGCCGCGCCATCGCGTGCCCCCCCCCCCCGACCCAACCCACTGAGGTAGCCCATATTACAGCCACTCATCTCCGGCTTTGAGCCAACGTGGAATTTTGCCGCGAGACGCAGCGTCATCGTGAGCGCGGACCAAGCAGTCTTGCAAGTCTGGCGCTGCGAACGCGGCAAATAGCCTTTCTGGTCCGCATAGTTAACCGCACACATACGCTGTATATTCGGCCTACGCAATTTCTTTGACGTCCCTAGCTTGGAGCATTTGATTTTAACCAGATTTCGTCTTATTTTTATCTTTACGCGTCTTGTTCTGATCGAGTCTTTGATTTCACTAGAACCAAGGGAAAGTGGAGGGATTCGGGGTACGTAAGCAATCATCATTTATTCCCTTCCTGGACTTAATCCTGTTCTTCGCATCATCGAACAACGTTTAAGGAAAATATGAGAAATGGTTTAGTTATTCGAAAAGCGTCTCGTACCGTCAGAGCACACTTTCGATCAGGAGTCAGTCCTATCGTTTTACTGTTTCAAACTTTTTACGACCCCCTCACCCAAGGACTTCGTACGACAGGGTCAACCCTACGTTGTTACGAGTAACAACGGGGGGGTCGTACTCAGTTGAGCTTGGAGGGAGGGGGGTCGTACCCTCTCGGTGGCCGACAGTGGGATTCTTGGTAATATCGGATAATAGCCAGCACGTTACGTTTTCGTAAGATGACTGATAGAGCATCTATAAACCACGATTCCCTCTAAATGAGCTTTCAAATGAATCAGCGAATTAGAAGGGCGCCCGAGGCGTGGCGCGCACCAAGGCAAGGGATGTAGTGCAAGCGCATGCTCGGAGCTTTCTAGCACATCCTAATTAAACATAAAATTGGTCTTCCAAGAAGTTACGGGCAGTGAAACCTAAGAAAACTCGCGTTTTCGAGAAAATGGCTTGAAGAATACCCCTCAAAATAAAAAGTAACAACGGGCTAATTTTTGAACTGCTGATCTTTCAGAAACGCTTGGTGCTCGTTAGAAAGCTTGAAACCTGTAGTTTATTACACCGTGTTCAGCTTCCCAAATGAATGACTTTGAAGGAAGTTATGATCGTTTGAAGGTCAAAAAGTCGCGGTTCCAAAAAAATAGTAACGCAAACCCCCAAAAAAGTAACAACGGGACTAATTTTTGAACTACTGATCTTTCAGGAACGCTTGGGTGCTCGTTAGAAAGCTTGAATCCTGTAGTTTATTATACGTGTTCAGCTTCCCAAATGAATGACTTTGAAGGAAGTTATGATCGTTTGAAGGTCAAAAAGTCGCCTTTGCACAGAAAAAAGTAACAACGTACTAAATTTTTATTAAATTAACTTTCGAAGAATTTTTACCCATGGTTGGAGAGAGAATAATTTGAATTTTCCAAATCAAATCACTTCGGCGCAGAAGCTCGAATATGAAGGAAGTTATAGCCTTAGAAAGAGGGGTGTAAAAATTGTGTTGCAATTGAAGAACGTGAAGGATTTCAGTATTTCAATTGGAGCGATAATTTTTTCTGACTTCTCATAAGTTTTTATCAGGTAATATTGTCAATATTCCGGTCACTGGTTCAGCTTATTTCATCTCCTAGTTTGGTAACCCTTTGGAGTACACGGATATCTTTGAATGCATCTCATTTTTTCGTGTTTGCAAGCAGCGATGAATTTCTGTCGTGGATTTTGCTAAAGTTTCATCTTTAATGACTTACGTAGAAATAAATATTGATGGTAAACACTGTCTCTACACAAGTGTTACATACAAAGGGGGGTCGTATCAAACCACCCTGGGGGGGGGTCGTAAAAAATTTCCGAAGAGTAACAACGATAGGGTTGACCCTGGTACGACCCCCTTTTCGACCCTCGACCACCATATTCCTCTCTATAGTATTTAATTCTGGTACCACTCAACCCACCAAACTCCGCCCACTTTTTCCTCCAAAATTGCCGTCGAGCAGGGGGATTTCTCCCGTACGCTCCCAACTCACCTAGCCTACTACTCGTGAAAACTCCACTTTCACCACAAACTCACACATGTACTTTCAGTACTTTACACGACTGAAGCGGATACGACCCCCCCTCCTATAACACTCAACCAGGTACGACCCCCCGTTGTTACTAGTAACAACGTAGGGGTTTACCCTGCTTTGCTTTGAATGATGTATGTTTACAGATTTTCTTGACGCTGCTGCGAGCGTTGGAGCCGTAATTACACGCGGCGCCATCGTGAGGCGTAAACAAAGTCGCGCCCCCTGTACTCGGTGTTCGTATATTAGGTTGTCTCATAAACAGTGTCGCTTTTTTTCATCCAAAAAATTTTCATCTAAACCTCCATGCTTTTACATCGTGTTGTGTACCATTCGAAAGAGAATTGTCTGCTCTACAAAATGCTATGTCCCACTTCCACATTTCTTCCAGGGTTTTCAAATTTTGGGCCTGTGAAATGGGAGGTCCGGCCGACAAAAAATGGCCAAACCGACAACTATCTCTAACATTATCTTTCCTTGGGAGAAATCAATCTATGATGTACCTTCTACTTATGCATGACCTCTTCTAATCATTACACTACTAGGTTTTCCTACAAATCGCGTCGTTCAATTTCCAGAGCTGGTTTTTCAACCAGAACTCGACGATCGAGCACCATTACCTGTGATCTAGGTCGAAATTTTTTTATGGCCGAGACGTTGAAGAACTGGTTGAATTGAAAACAGATCGTGATCTAACTCAGGGTGTACGCCGATTGATGTTCTCATTTCTGGACAGGGATGCAATTTTTCTTCAACGAAAGTGGTCCTTCGTTCGCCCGGGTAAGCCTTATTATGAACATCTAAAATATCGACTACATTCCCACAAACAGAGAAACAAAAACAACATGACGTGAGAGCAGAAGAAGTGCCGGTTCGTAAAAGACATCCCGATATGAAACCAATACCGTTTAGACGCTTCGGTCAGACTCCGGCGATTGCGTCGCTGTGACACCAGGACGAATCGCCGGCGACGGAGCCGCCCGGCAACGGGCGATGACTCATCAGCACACGATCGATATCGGTGCAGGGGGAGCAACATGAACGATGGGTGAGGATGATTAATCTCCCCCTGCACCGATATCGATCGTGTGCTGATGAGTCATCGCCCGTTGCTGCCACTCTTGTGCCGGGCGGGGCGGCTCCGTCGCCGGCGATTCCGTCGCCGGCGATTCCGTCGCAAGCGATCTCCGTCGCCACGGGGCGACTCGTTCTCCTTAGGTGCTCCAGCGACGCACACGCTAGTCCTGACCGAGGTCTTACCGAGTATAAGCGAGGGTTTTAATTTGAAAATTGCTTTGGCTTATCCGTCAGCCAATTCGAAAAGAAAAACGGCAAAGCTTTTTCGGCAACCTAAGAGTGGAATGTTTAGAAGAGGTCATGGGTAAGTATAGGGTATATCACTGGTTGATTTCTCCCCAGGGAAAATAAAGTTACAGCCAGTTGTCGGTTTGGTCAATTTTTGCCGGCGAGACCTCCCATTTTGCTGGCCTGAAATTCGAAAACTCTGAAATAGCGGTGGAAGCGGAACACAGCATTTTGTAGAGCAGACAATTCTCTTTCGAATGATATATAAAACGATGTAAAAGTTTCATGATTTAGATGAAAATTTTTTGGTTGAAAAAAAACGACATCACTTATGAGACAACCTAATAGAATGGCAATACAACGCTAATCTCTGCGACACGAAGTTATTATTGTTTGCGTGTTTTGTGGTGGGTTGGGGTGCGTCAGTTTATTCTGATAGCTTCTTTTCAATAAAGTTGTATCAGCTGATTTTTGGTAAATGATAGTTGTAATTAGTGACAATCGATAGAATACAACTGCAACAGGCTAATCATTTCATTGGCAGAAAACATTAACATTTTGTGAAGGCCGTCGTCACTTGTGGTGCATGGTCTGCACCTCGACACTTTCTCGCTTTTTGAAGGGAGTTACTTCATAGCGGCTCATTACGTCGAAGCTAGGCGGGCCAGCTTGTCCCACATTCCACCCCCCCCCCCCCCCCCCCCCCCCCCACCCCCCCCCCCCCCCCACATACACACACACCGTATTGAAAGAATACAGCGTGCCCATCCCACTTGTATTGCACCAAAGTAGGTTTTGCTGTACCATGAGCAAAACCTATTTAGCTAGTGTGTGTGTGTGTGGGGGGGGGGGGGACACGGCATTCTGCTTAGAGTTCTCTTAGCGCGATGGCTAAAAAGGAGCTCTTGAAATATTGGCTGTCTTGATTCTTCCGGCTACTTCTTGTGAGACATTCTGAGATGACTATAGAAAAGGGATCTAGAATATGTAAGCTACTAACTATGTGCTAGAAGTTGGACTATGCGAAATTACATTGTTTACAGGCTACCCATTTCTTCTTGGGCTCAGGCGTGTTGCCATCGCGCTCTGAAAGAACGCCAGACGAGCACAGCGCCGCCAGCCGCGTGCCCTGTCCTCCCTCCCCCCCCCAAGTCACTTGGCACCAAACCTACAGAAGCAGTTTTGTTTGCGTCGTTCCAATCTGTTTATGGTTTTTCGGCCACCGCCGCTAGTGATGTTCTTCTTAAGTCATGTATACGCGCAGGCAGCGCTAAGCACAGCTTTCATTTGATCCGGCAGATGGCTGTGATTAGCCCTACTTGCATTTGGATCAATGTTCAATGCATTGAAGATGTTGTCTGCAGTTATACGAAGAATGTCGCAAGTCGCTGCTCGAGAACAACGTTTGGTATGGATTGATTGTGAGATGACAGGCCTGAATCACGAGAAACAGACGTTAGTGGAAATTGCGACGATTGTTACTGATCCGGATCTTAATGTGAGCTCTTATATCGTTGTAGTGACAATGGTAATCTATTGCTACTTTCAGATAGTCGCTGAGGGACCGGATATTGTAATACACCAACCAGAAGCTGTTCTGCGAAATATGGAAAGCTGGCCACGAGAGACGTTCACCCAGAATGGTCTCCTTAAAAGAATTCGTGAAAGCACCATAAGCCTGCGCGAAGCAGAGGATATGGTGAGAGTTTGTCCGTTGATCATTCCTGTCATGAAAGGTCGGTTCCTTAACACATCGCGTACCGAGCGCTTTTTGCGCTGGCGAGCTCGCGCGGCCGCGCCTGCATTGCAAGACCCACATTTTCCGAAATTCTTTTCTAAGGGTACTTTTTAACTTTGTTGTTCTTACAATTGAGTCATGCCACAATTTATTATGGATTGTCATGAACTTTTGAATGGTTAACAAATGAATGCAAAACAGCGATAGAAATAGATCAAAAATCTGCTTCGACCAACTTTGGTGAAAAATCTTGATGGCAGACAAGTTAGTACCATCACCCCTTAATCTGCTTTAGCATGCTTTTTGAAAAGCAGTGACGATTACCCAGATTCGGAGAATGAGGAGGAGCATAACACTTCCACCCGAACTTGAGACAAGGAATATATACCCCATTTTTGCCGGTACTTTATTCTGATTTACTATCAACAGAGTAAGACAACAGCAAGGTAGATTTCGAACATGAGGATTATCCTGAGCAATTACCTAAGCACTTCGACAATCCACACCGAAAAGCATCAAGCTGAAAAATGACTGGCGAAGCTGGAAAAACGCCAGCGAAAGCCTTAACGTTGATGCTTTGCTGCACATTACATTTTTCACTCGAAGATTTAAATTGAAACACATTATTGCACTCAGTTGCATTACGACTAGGTTGTGATGACTGCTCAACTTTCTTCAAAAGATGTGTTTTATTCGTGCGAATTTGATTAGGAAACTATGTTCTCGATGGAATACCATGTACAAATATTATGTAATTACCAGTTGGCGCAGCACGCGTTGCGCGCGCAACACAGTTCTGCGGCGATATGGGATGGTGCGGCGTAAATTCTCAAATTTGGCCCGATACACTACGAATATTTGACTTCTCAGCTAGGTTCTATCCGCTCCATAATCGATAGCTTTTAACCTCTCCTTCTTCGCAACTATTATCCGCTTTTTCCCGGTCTCCGGACTGCCTCTAGACCGATTTATAAATCTCGTCATGAACTCAGCCTATTTCGGTGCATGTCTCACCCATCTTTTTCTTCCTTGCTAATAGCTTCCGTTTTCCCCGGTCTCTGAACTGACCCTGAGCAATCTATATGCTTGGCGGCTAACGCGGCCACTTTAGTGCATCCAACCACAAATAAAAATTGACTTCCCTCCCTTTGCCGGCCTCCATCTACTTTATTCCCAGTTCCTAGAGCTTCGTGGAACCACTTTATAGGTCTGGCAACAAACCCAGCCCACTTAGGTCATACCCCGCTCACCGATGAAGATTGAATTCTCTCCCTTCGCTGGCTTCTATCCACCTTTTTCCCGGCCTCCGGGACTTCTTGGAAGCCGAGTTATGAATTTTCGTCGCAAACTCCGCCCACTTTGGTCAGCCCCGCCCACCGATGACAGCTGGCCTCCACTCCTCCACCCACCTCCATCCACCTTTTTCCCGGCCTCCGGGACTTCTTGGAGCCGAGTTATGAATTTTCGTCGCAAACTCCGCCCACTTTGGTCATGCCCCGCCCACTTACAGCAGTTTCCTCGCTTCCATCGCAGACCTCTATCCACATTTTTCCCAAGCTCCAGAACTTCTTAGAACCGAGTTTTAGGTCTGGCAGAGGGAGTATGAAGTTTCTGGCAAACTCCGCCTACTTTGATGCAAACACTGACTGCCAAGGGCAATCGAACTCCTTCTCTCCACCCACCTCCATCCACATTTTTTTTCCAGTCTCCGAAACCTCTTGGGGCCCAGTCATGGATT